GCCTGACTGTTCCTGATTTCTGCAAATCTGCCCTCTTAAAAAGACTGGCAGTGAACAGTTACTCTTTGTACATGAGTAAATCCTACCCCCACATCCCCAGGGCATGGTATTAACATAGTGGGGAGACTGTTTATGACAAAGGGATCTACTTGGACCTCCATTTGTGGTGATACATTGGAGGATTAAATGCATTTCGTGCACCGAGCAAGCATGGTCTTCAGGTGCTGAGACAGGTGCCTGTGGTCTCTTATGAGGCTCAGAAATGGGCACGTGGCATCTGACGGGAAAGGCAATCTGACAAACACTCAAAACAGCATCTTCCCTTCAGGGGCTTTCTTAAGAGGTTAGAAGTCCTTGAATCAACTTGAATGTTAATATTGCCCAGGCAATATCTGCCAAGAAGCTGGTTATGCAGGTCTCAAAAGGCCTTTCTTGGAAGATAAATCTGTCCTCTAGAAGCACACTTATCACTCTGTCTTTCACAAGAAATACAATTTGCTCTCAGGGTAGAGAGATGCAGCATTCAGAAACCTCAGCGGCCAGCAATTTAGTGCTCAAGCTTTTGTGAAGGAGGCACAGCAGTTACTATAAACAAGAAAAAAATGATTTGGGAGGAAAGATGCAGCACCATGTAGAGGGAAGAATTGTTTTAGGTGAGTTTAAACCGGGGGAGCTGAAGAGGAGTGATCGGATTTGCTAAAGGAAAGAAAGCAATTAGACTGAGCACCGCAGGGAGGAAAACATTATTAGACTGTGGGATTTTTTTCTTGGAAAAGTAGTGAAAGCCCCTTCTCTGACTTCATTTCAAAATGCATTGTATTGGACGGCTGGACAGGCTCTTTGGAGTGGTGCTGGGCTGTGGACTACTTTTCCATTAGGTTACCATTTCATGTCTGACTCTGGTCAGACTTTACCCAAGTAAAGGACAACAAGAAATTGTTTTTTAGATATATAGGGAGTAAAAGGAAGGCCCAGGGAGGAATAGGACCCCTGCTAAATGGGCAGAAACAATTGGTGACGGACAGGGGGGACAAGGCTGAACTCCTCAATGAGTTCTTTGCCTCAGTGTTCCTAAGCGAGGGGCACGACAAGTCTCTCACTGGGGTTGTAGAGAGGCAGCAGCAAGGCGCCAGACTGCCATGCGTAGACCCTGAGATGGTGCAGAGTCACTTGGAAGAACTGGATGCCTTTAAGTCGGCAGGCCCGGATGAGCTCCATCCGAGGGTGCTGAAGGCACTGGCCGACATCATTGCAGAGCCACTGGCGGGAATATTTGAACACTCGTGGCACACGGGCCAAGTCCTGGAGGACTGGAAAAGGGCCAACGTGGTCCCCATTTTCAAGAAGGGGAGGAAGGAGGACCTGGGCAACTATAGACCAGTCAGTCTCACCTCCATCCTTGGCAAAGTCTTTGAAAAAATTATCAAGGCTCACATTTGTGAGAGCCCGGCAGGACAAATTATGCTGAGGGGAAACCAGCACGGGTTCGTGGCAGGCAGATCGTGCCTGACCAATCTAGTCTCTTTTTATGACCAGGTTACGAAACGCCTGGACACAGGAGGAGGGGTGGATGTCGTATACTTAGACTTCAGGAAGGCCTTCAATACGGTATCCCACCCCATACTGGTGAACAAGTTAAGAGGCTGTGACTTGGATGACTACACAGTCCGGTGGGTGGCGAATTGGCTGGAGGGTCGCACCCAGAGAGTCATGGTGGATGGGTCGGTTTCGACCTGGAAGGGTGTGGGCAGTGGGGTCCCACAGGGTTCGGTCCTTGGACCGATACTCTTTAATGTCTTCATCAGCGACTTGGACAAGGGAGTGAAATGTACTCTGTCCAAGTTTGCAGATGACACAAAGCTATGGGGAGAAGTGGACACACTGGAGGGCAGGGAACAGTGGAAAGGGACCTTGGAGTCCTAGTGGACTCCAAGATGAACATGAGTCGGCAGTGTGACGAAGCCATCAGAAAAGCCAATGGCACTTTATCGTGCATCAGAAGATGCATGACGAATAGATCCAAGGAGGTGATACTTCCCCTCTATCGGGCGCTGGTCAGACCACAGTTGGAGTACTGCGTGCAATTCTGGGCGCCGCACTTCAAGAGAGATGCGGATAACCTGGAGAGGGTCCAGAGAAGGGCCACTCGTGTGGTTAAGGGCTTGCAGACCAAGCCCTACGAGGAGAGACTAGAGAACCTGGACCTCTTCAGCCTCTGCAAGAGAAGGTTGAGAGGCGACCTTGTGGCTGCCTATAAGTTCATCACGGGGGCACAGAAGGGAATTGGTGAGTATTTATTCATCAAGGCGCCCCCGGGGGTTACAAGAAATAATGGCCACAAGCTAGCAGAGAGCAGATTTAGATTGGACATTAGGAAGAACTTCTTCACAGTTCGAGTGGCCAAGGTCTGGAACGGGCTCCCAAGGGAGGTGGTGCTCTCCCCTACCCTGGGGGTCTTCAAGAGGAGGTTAGATGAGTATCTAGCTGGGGTCATCTAGACCCAGCACTCTTTCCTGCCTATGCAGGGGGTCGGACTCGATGATCTATTGAGGTCCCTTCCGACCCTAACATCTATGAATCTATGAATCTGGTGAATAGTGTTACAGTCTGATAACTTTTTGGTGGCATAGGTTACATTAATCACTAGTCTTGGATAAGCCAAGCTACCAAAATCCACCATTGGTAGCTTCAGCAAAGAGACCAAGGACTGCCCGGGGCTAGAGCCTGAACCTCCTATCCTTAAGCAGGTTTCTTTTCATGAGGCCTGAAACACCGTTGGTAGTGTGGTGATTACCAGGTTCAATAAAGACAATTATTAGGCATGAATGATAAGAACTGAATGAGAACTTTTATTGTGGAGCAGTAGGCAAACCTCTATAGATCCTTTTTCTCTCTTCTCTCTTTAACTAGCCACTCTCTAACTGAAGGACCATTTCCCAGTTCCCAATTTCCTCAGTCTCCTGAGTTAGGGAGCATCTCCAAATTATAATTTCCGTGACTACAGGGAGGTCATCCTGATTATAAGGCTGGCTCAGGTGTGCCAGGTGCTGTAGAAATGTACAGTGAATGGAGCTCCTTGCCTCAACCAACTTAGTCTAGAAGCCAAGACGTGATGGTCAGAGAAGTGGGATAGGGTGATATGAGATGAGGTAATAAAAGATCTCACCTGAAGCCAACTTTGACCTCCACTTCTGGTGATACGTTGGAGAACTAAATGCATTTCACACATTGATCAACCATTGTCTTTGGGCGCGGAGAGAGGTGATGAGACAGATGCCTGTCTCACTTTTCTATCTGATTTGTTAAAATCAAATATAACCGGGAATTCGAATACTTACCTGGTCAGTGACAGGGACAACCTCATCTGCCGGTCTGCTATGTCCAGAGAGTAGCATGTTGCAGCTTAGTGAATATGACAGATGTAGCGAGCTTTGACGAGAACATTTTATATTTAGACTTTTTTTTTTTTGTTTAACAAAATGGGGAGCAGGGACCACATCCCAGGTCCTCTTCCCTCCTCACTGAGCTGTAGCGTCATGCTCCTTTTCGATTGCATGAGGCTTTTGCTCTCCATCCAGCTTCAACAAGATGGGTGGGGAGGGCTCCACCCAGCCTAGGGCAAGCAGCGGGGTCAGGCATTTGGGGACATGATAGATCCCTGATTTCCTAATCCTCAGCAAATGATTTTGCCATAATGCTGCTGAGGGAAGAGAGAGGCTGCTTCTTTTTCCTCCTCCACATGCACTCAACATCAAATCGTTGCTAGCCATGCCCTGTCCTTGCCTAAAGGGATCAGGGACTTGGGTAGAGTTTAGTTGCTTCCCAGCACCAGCTTGGACCACAACAGGCTTGGGTAGGTTTAAACACCTTACGTAGCTGATCACATCATTACTTTGCATCTGCCGTAGCCCATGTCTAGACCTCTAGAAACAAAACGGAGGCCCCTGAGTGGTTTTGCGGCAGGGTTGATTAGGTCTGCTCTCTGTGATTTAACCTCCTACATTCTGCCCAGACCCTGTGTAAGTACCTATAGGGCTGAGCAAGATCAGGCCCTAGTCCTTAAGTTTGCCTGTTTATAGGCTCGTAGGAAAGTGGGGCTGAAAAAAGACATCATCTAGCCCAGCCCCCTACTTAAGGCAGGAGCATCCCTGACTAAACCATCCCAGCCAAGTGTCTGCGTAACCTGCCCTTCAAACTGCCCGGGGATGGAGACTCCACAGCTCCTCTAGGCAGCTGCTTCCAGTGCTTGCCCACCTCAGAGTCAGACACTTCTTGTGTTAAAACTACAGACAAGTTAGTTTTCACCTTGCATTTGCTATTTCTGGTTAAGAATGCACTTTTTTTTCCTAGTGTAGACGTAGTCTCCAACCTCCAAAAGCAGGTGCATTTAAAAAAAAGACACGCTGCTGTCAAGAAGACCCTTGTTTTGTTTTTTCCCAAAGCCCTGCAATTATTACTCCAGTTCAGATTAGATTAACTTCAGCAACACAAAAAGTATCCTCTCTGGTGACTGCAGTCTCACCTTGGGCTCAAACGGATGCCGTTTAATGATTCTTGTTCAGAAAGAAGAAATGATTCAAGCCATTAAACGGATTTTGAGATTAATTGCATCTTAGTTTGACATTTAAAGATAAAACATTTTGATCTGTAGTTTTCATTTGATCTTAATGACTTTCCATGCTGAGCATTATAAAGGTTATTTCTGCAGAATTTAAATTGGTAATCAGTTTGTGATTAGACACGATGCCCCTCTCCTGTGACTGTTTAATCTGCAACCTCTGTATCTGTCTTTAATGTTGACAGGGGGTGAAGGATTGCAGAAGGTGCTTACCTTGTACCAAACTATGACAGACCTATTCCTAATAGTTTTGGAGTAAATTTGGTTCCCTTTTAGAATAACCCTTGCAAAACAGTGTTGCAAAACTCAAAAGTTGAAAACGAAGTGACGGATATTAATTTTACACTATTCTTAATGCAGAAAAACAATTGAAAAATGAAGAGTTTGTATTCAACGAGGAAACGGTGCAACATCTGGAAGCTGCTATTGAAGCTATTAAGAAACTGGTAACGTAGCATCTAGAAGTTTTAATTGTTTCGTGTAACTGGTATATGGGAAAGATTTACAGTTTGTAGTGAGGTGAAATGACTGCCTTCTATGCTGTGGGTCACAGTCTCGCCTCAAAGAACGAGGGACAGCTCCTGTCTGAAATCAGGACGACTGAAATCAAACTGGAGCAGCGTGAACCAAACAGCTGATCAAGGGCTAGGTGTTCAGTGAGCTGAATTGCGGTTTCAGCCCCGGCAAATACGGGAGTGTGTTACCCTAGGAACCATCTTATATTTAGTGCAAAAGTATGCCCTTCCACTGAGATCAAGAAAGGAAGGATGGCCATGTGGTCTGTGCAGTAGATGGATTCAAATCAGGGCTGTGTTCCCATCTCTAGCATTGACTTGATTTTGAGCAAGGGATTTAGGCTCCAGTTTTCAGAGGTCTGCTCATACAGAGCTGTCTGCAGGATACGCGCCTTCTCCTCTTAATCCCATCTGTCTGAAGGACAAAAATATTTTCCCTCTCAGGACTGCGAGGATACATCCATTCACGGTTGTGAGGTTCCCAGATGCGATGGTAGCAAGGACCATAGGGAAACCAGGATTAAAAGTAGAGCCAATAAATCATTTTGACATGGGTATTTTGACCTGTGACCCCAGTTCACTCTTTTCTGGAGTAATTCTTAGCGGTCTTCTCTAAAGACAAAGGAGGACTGCAGCGTGCGTGGTAAAGGGCCCTCTGTGATATCTCTTCTCTGGGAAACGGCTGGTCTTGGACAATTGGTGTCTGTCATAGCACTGCGGTTGGCATTAAAGTCAGAGTGGCTTCAAAGGCATTTTCTAAAACTCTCCTTTTGTCCTTCAGGGCTACTCTAACTTGCCTATTTCAGCTTGTTCCTTCGGTAATCCATCATCAGTGAATTATTTTATGTCATTGGCTGCGATCGGTTCAACAGGCTATAATGTTCCTAAGTTTTCCATTTTACAACTGATTAAGAATGTAATTCATAGCTGATTGAAAACCTCTTACTCCCATCTCATTTCTTTTACATTACTACCAATTACTTTTTCTCGGGTAGGTGTTATGACAAGCCACTGTAGGCCTATAGAACTGACACCTTGGAAAGTGAACCTGATGCATCATTTCTCTCCGTCTTGCCTGGGTGGTGATGGTAGTAGATAGCAACACAAGGAAAGGCATAAAACACCAGGGCAGGCATTAGATATGGGCTATACAGGCAGCTGCCCAATTCACCATTTATTTTGGGATGAATCTTTTTTCCTTACCATCCAAGAGCTGAAAACTGCATCAAACTGTGAGCTGGGTGACCCAAACGGGCCCCTGTCAGTGTTTAGGGGTGCTTCTTGAAAAGCCCAAGAGCCAAGAGAGAGAAATTCAGTTTGAGTCCAGGCCAGCTGGCAACCTTTCACCCCAGAACAGCTTTTGACGGGGGTAGGTCTCTATTGCTTAGACCATCTCCCATCCAAGAACAGGTGAGAAGCCAAAATCTAGTCCGCCAGTGTGGCCGGGGCTTGGCTGCCATCCTAGCGTGGCTTTTGGGGTGATGTGGGGGGTATTTTGTTTTGAAAAGCAGGAGTGGCCATGGCTGTGGTTAGGGTGGCAATACTGGGTTGTCATAATGTCCTTGTGCACTTTTAAACTTGAATAACTTAGGTTGTAGGTATGATGGAAACGATCTGTAAGCAGCATTTAAAAGCAAACTTATTAAAGTTTTAGGACAACTAGCATACACAATGCAGGACTTCATAAGTAATAACGAATTTATTCTTATTTCAGATCTTTTGACAAACAAAACATGGCTACTGTAGATGAGAAGGTAAACTGTGTCCTAGGGCTAGTAGAATTGAAATCCATATCAGCTGTGAGAAGGAAATGGTGGTTATGTTGAAGTCTAGCAGTGTGTACTCGAGTTGTCCTAACACTTTAATACATTTGCTTTTAAATGCCGTTTACAGATTGTTTCTGTCATACCTACAACCTAAGTTATTAATGTTTAAAAGTGCACAAGGACTTTATGAAGACCCTGTATATAGCAGTAGCTGTATAAAAAGGAGGAGACAATCTTTTTCAGATGTTTGTTATTAAGTAGTTTTGCTCTAACCTGCTCTTATCCCTTGACCCGGTATTTGCTTAATGTCAGGAGGAAATAAGAAGACGCACCCATGAACTTCTAGAAGAGGAGACCATAAAAAACAGTAATCTCCGTTTCAGAATCCAGAACCTCCCAGACCTGATTACCGAGGAGATGACAGGTAATGCCAGCTCCGCCAGCCCCGACCGAGACTATGCGGGAGCTGAGCTTTGTTGTCGTGGGAGGAGAGAAGTCGTCACATAAAGGAAGCAAAAACAAAAAGTATAGGACTAAAAATCTCTGATCTAAAATAAACGTCATTAAGAACAGTAAATGGTCTCCGAGAACCTGTTGGTGAATGGGGACACGTTTGGCACTTTCTGATTCGACTAACATGAGTGAGACGTAGCTGGGGACAACAGCCGTAGGGTAGGGTCACAACAGGAGGTTTGGGCCCCTGGGCTCTTGTTCCAACTGTGCTTTGCACTTCCCGGGACACTTGGGGGTAAGTCTCTAGTATGTACTTTGCCTCAGTTTCTTCATCTGTGAAATGGGGATAACAGTGCTTCCCAGCCTGTGAAACTCAACACTTTCCAGATCTCAAGATGTACAGATTCATCCCTGCTTCTTTCTCCACCTTCCACCCCCCACACAAACACACGCCTCCCATCTGTTTCCTCCTTTTCCAGTGCCCCTGTTTTTGTGGTTTTCTGTATCTTTAGCAAGGAATTCCTTTCCCAAGGGGGTTTCTTGATATAAAATGTGGAAAAGGTACAGTACAGTAGAAATGCAGCAGGCTTCTCCAAGTCTGTAAATGCAAATAACTTGGACAAAATGTGGGGGCAGTAAGTTGCTGAAATAAGGTTTTGCTTTTTAAATGTGTAAGAGAACCGCTGCCCACTTTCAGGTGACGTTTGTCCGGTGATGCATTAACATTGCAGATACCAATCCACTGACAGAGTGTTGTTGCGCATGCTTTTTTTGTTGAGATCAGCACGTTTAAAAAACAAATCTCTTTCTAGCTCTCGTTTCGGCTGCCCGTGAATCCAACGCTGCTAAGATCCATCAATTGCAGACTGCGCTGAAGGACGTCACACGTGAAACCGAACTGCTGGATCAGAAGCAAACCCTTTATGAAAGGGAGAATGCCACCTTGTGGTATGTGATTTGTATGGGCATAAGTAAAATCATGTTGGGAAAAGACTAGGAAGAAATAAACCAGAATCGGAGCCAGGGGGCTTTGTCACTCCTATAGGCAGTAGGACGTGCTCCTCAGCAGCTTTTTGCTGCCGCATGAGCTCTGCTTTTGAGAAAATCTTGGTTTTTTTGAGTAGCAGTCACGGTCTAGAGCTTCCTGCCCCCTGCTGTTAAGATACACTGGCTTGATAGAAAACTGGCTGCAAGTCTGGGGAGGAGGAGGGGGGGGAGTCTTCTGCCTGCAACGAAGAGCATCAGAAGAAAGGCAAAATCAATGATAATTTTGACCTTGCAAACCCATATCCCATTCTCCAGTGGGGAAAAAGAAAACATACTAAAGAAAGCCTTGAGCTAGGAATTCTCTGCCAGCATCCCTGATGGCAAGCCCCATCTGCCCCAGGGAGCGCCCTATTCTCCATTGCTTCGTGGGCACGTGGAGCTGGGCTGGGATTTGCCTGGTTTCTACCAGATTATGTGTTTCTATCCCCTTCTGCCAGGGCACTAGAGCTGTTCAAAAAAAAGTCACAGCTTACTTCCATATCAGGAAACTTGATTTTTTTTTTTTAATTCTTTCTGTGCTTGAAAATAGCTGGGCCACTTGTTAATGGAACTAGAAAAAAAGAACATATTCATTAGGGGAACAAAAGAAAAGACCCACGCCTGAAGAAGTAAAACGTGGAGAGAACGCTAGGCCACGGGAAGGGATGCATTTAAATAGCAAGTGTTGATTGTCTTGATTAGCGAGATGCTCAGACTCATCTGAGGCCCCAGGCCAGATCTGGACCCCAGGGCTCAAGGCAACAGCAGCGGTGGCAGTGGTGGTAGTGGCTGCCGCAGTGGTAATGGTGGTGGCAGCCATGGCGGAGGTGCACAAGTCGCAGAGGGCAAGTGAGGGCTGTGTTGTACAGACCTTCCTTGCCCACCTAACAACAAGGATCACGTCGACCAGGGCCTCGGATTGCTTGGCAGGCCGTGCCCCCCGCTGCCCACCGCCCCGACTTCCAGTAGCCCGCCATTAGCCCAGCAGTCTGGATGGAGCAACTCCAGGGGCCAGATCTCGGGCCATATGCTTGACCCTTGTGATCTCGCTTACAGACGTTGCTACATGCACCATTTATCCCATGTATGATGCCATCCTTGTCTGGGTCACTAATGTGTGCTTTATTCATCCTAAAGTGCAAATAAGGGTTTGGGTCCATTACAACCCTGGAGAATTTTTCCTTTTACTTCAGTGGGCCTTGGGTCAGGGTTTTTGTCTGATTCGGAGGCATGCAGGAGAATTCGTCTCCGTCAGGGGTGGATCCAGAGGGTGCAGCTGCATCCCCTTCGATTCCTGCTCCACCCAAAGCTTCAAACCAACTGCTCAGCAGTTACAGCAGCATTTTATTCAGGCAGCAGTGAGGGAGTCAACTGATTTAATGTCTCATGATAACCTACCTGATTCCTTCTAAACTCTTCATTCCACAGGTGTTAACAACCTGCTCTCTTTTTTTAATGGTCTTGATTTTCTACTAATCAAGCTAACCTTTCTTCTGCAATTCTACAGTGTATTAGCTGCTCCTTTTAACGTAGCTCCCATTTCACAGCCCTGCAGACTGTATTTTACCTTTATCTGAATATGTCAGCTCAGGTGGGAAACATTAACTCTTTTGAACATCAGCTCAGATATGGAAATAAGTGTTGGTGAAACACTGGATGCACTGTCAAGATGCTGAAGAACGCTCTATATTTGGTTTATGAATCTGCAAGAGATGTACATTTAACTCCAATGACAACAGGAATAAAGAAACAACAGCTTTTGATGATTTTTGCCTAGTTTTAGCATATAGCATATGATATAGAAAATGAATGCACGTGCCAATCAAGTTATATGTGTTTTTGCTGAATGATATAACCCTAGGCCCCTAGCATATTAGTAAAGCTTTGAGTTACCTGGAGAAAATAATTTGTGTTGTATGTGATGATGCACCACACCAGGTGCACCCCCCTTCCCAAAATCCCAGATCTGCCCATGGTCTCTGGTTTATTTTCTCCAGTGAGGAGCAAGAGAAATTGTGGGTCCGGCATGAAGCAGCTGTAGACTTCATGAACCAACAAATGGCCAAGAGAGTTAACACAAAGATTCTCTTAAGCGAGGTTTACAAGAAAACCAAAAATGCAGAGCAAGATATAATCAAGAAAAAGAAAGATGTGCAAGAACTGAAGGAAGCCGTAGCTAGAGAGAGGACATTTCTACAGGAAGAAAAAGACGCATGGGACAAAAAGGTAAAGATCCTGAGCTGTATTCCATTCTCATAAAAGTATAGCTGTGAATATGGTTCCAAAAATTAAATGGTTTTAGGAATGGTGATGGGATACTTATGCGGAATAGTGCATTGAGCTGGCTTTCATGCAGCCAGTTTGTGCTTTCTGACAGTACAATACAGAGCTCTATATCAGGAGGAAGGGCGTGCTTGTGTGGGTATTGTGGTTGTGTATTGTGTGTGGGGTTTTTGCATGCATGTATCACTTATTCTCCTAACATACCCAGTGAATTCTCATTCTTGTTTAATTGCTTTCCGTTATGAACAGAGGGAAAAAAAGAAAAGTACCTTTATTTTACTGCTGTTATATTTTCCTGCACTTGTTCTTTGTACTTGAGTATACTTAATTTCCTTTAAGAGACATTTTTAGGGCATTTTTCAGAAAGAAATTAATTTTCTTGCAATCTGGCAAAAGTGTTTTTCTGTAGAACAAATTATAGGCCTAGTGCTATAAAGGCCTAATCATGTGTCTGATTTAATGCACAGTGAGTAACCCTGTTGAAAGGTGTAACATTGAGTATGTGCATAAGTCTTTGCAATATCAGGATTTAATACTGTATTTTCATGAATTAAAAATAATACCTTCCTATAGGATTTGAACAGCTGGTACGTAGTTATGACCTCTATAAAAATGTCTTTTCTTTTAGCTCAGCTTTTTGCTTGAAAGGCTTCAGACCACACAGTTTACAAGGCTAAAGATTTTTTCTTAAGCTCAGCAATTTGCATTAGGTTGATTATGATGAACTAATGATGTTTTTACATGTAGAAGGCAGAGATGAAAACAAAACTGGATGCACAGAAGGCAAAATCGTTATTGAAAAAAAGAGAATATGAACATTTGCTTCCAAAACTGTTGGATATTCAGCAACAGATAACCCACCAGGCAGCGGTAAGGAGAAAATTGCTGGCTTCTTGCAAGATTTTTCTTATTTCAACCTGTGTTTTTCCTAAAAGGAAAAAAAAATATTTGTCCAGTTATGAAATGAAGAGCCCCGAGGTAGGGGAAAGAGGCATAAGTGAAGAGTTGTAAGGAAAGGGATGGAGGGGTTATCTTTGGGGATAGGGTAAAAACAAAAGGCTTTTCTAAATGACTGATGCTGTTGCCTCAAGTACTCCAGCATACGAGTGACGTTATTACAGAATAGGGTGCCACTGTGGAGGAAGTCTACCCTCCTGGCTGCCATACAGTCTCATCTGATGAGGTTATGCCAGCCAATTCTCCTGATAGACGAGCTCAGAGGACGAACACAGTAGATTAGTAAGCAACAACTCATGACCCTGTTCTGCCTATATACCGGGTTACTGCCCATGTGGAACCACTGGTAGTTTTTGAGACTTAAGAGAAGACACGACAGATATTTAATAGACACAAATGCCAAAGAGCACGAGGGATTATTTAGGGCAGGGATGTCAAAGATGCAGCCCATGGGCCAGATCCAGATCCGTGGATCCCCCATGTGCCTGATCTGGCACCCTCTCTGGCTGCTCAGGGACTGCCACAAGTGATGCCTGCTCCAGCTGATCTGGGACCCGTGCTGCATGCAGTCTCTGCCCCAGACTGGCTGGAGCAGGTGCCGCGTGTGGCTCATGTCCCAATCCGGCCACATACAGTGCAGTCCCAGACCAGCTGGAGCGAGCACCATGGGTGCTAGGTCTGGGGTGGGGAGTTGGGGGGGTCTGTCGGCCTGATCCAGCCCTGTGCCATTCATCTGGCCTGTGGACCTGTCCTATGCCATTCATCTGGTCTGAAGGGCCAGGTGGATTGACACTCCTGGTTTTAGGTCATCTTTCAGCTGCTTCTGGAGCCCGTGAGGGATTGCCACAGTGAAGCACAACTCGCCTGTTCTCTTCCCCAAAATAGATATACTGTATTTACTTGTATACCACGTGCACCTTTTCCCCACAAATCCACCCTCCAGTCGGGGAGTGTGTCACAACACAGTGAAAGAGATCCTAACAGCAGGTTGCATTCAGATATGGACTCATCAACCAAGGGAAGTGATAGAAGCCCTATTGTTTGGGATGTTCAAAAATAAGCTGGACAAAGTAACACGTCCATCATCATGCAGGAATAGAAACAATTTAGGGAGAGGTCAGAGCAAAAAGGACTAAAAGGGCAATCAAGCTAACTCTTCCCTCCATCCACTTAATCCTGGCTACGAGCACGACCTACCTAATGCCACGTTCCTCTGTTTTTCATAGGAGTAACTTCTCTGAAAACAAGTGTCTTCATCTGTCTTTAAGTTATCTCTTCACTACAAAGTTAACATAGGTTTAATTGCTCTCGAGTTAATCTACCTCAAGTGAGAGCAACCATGTTTTGAGCTGCTCAGCACGACTGTGTTAGCAGCTGCTGAGCTGTGCTAACCTGGAAGATAACTGTTCCTCCTGACAGGCCTGCCAGCCTAAGTCCAGCATACACCTGTTTTTGAGATAAGGGAGTCTTTTGTTTGAATGGGTATAGAATAAGGGAGGATCTCGATTTTATGTGCGAGTTAACTCCTGTGGTTTTGTGTGTGACATTCCAGTGTGACTTAAGGTATTACACGAAAAACATATGCAAAAGTGACATGGGCTAGGGATGGAAATTATACATAAGCCGGTATGAGTGTCCAGAAACCAGTTCAAAACTGTAACACTACAGAAGTTTGGTCCCCATGAACCACTAAGAGGTGCAGACAGAAGTGCAGCTCCCCAGTCTAACTCGCGGTGCTTCACAGAGAGCATCATGAGTTAGACTGACCCTCCCGACCCAACACATGTTAGCTGTTGGGTCGGGAGGGTGGGGTATTAAGCTCCAATTTGGAGCCCAAGGGAGAAAGGCTGTGTCTCTGCAGCTTCTTCCCCTAGCCCTGCTCCCTCTGTCCCAGCCCCCAGTGCTGCCTCAGCATGGGAGGGGGAGTAGGCAGGGAAGGGAGGTTTCCCCAGCTTGCATGGGAGGAGGAAGGCAGATGGATTGAAGCCTCCCTTCCTCCCCTTCCCAGTGCAGCTAGGAAAACCCCAGACCAGACCTCCCTCCCCTATCTTCTCCCGCTCCTATCCTGAGACAGCACCAGGGGCCAGGCTGTGCTGCAGCAGCCCAGCCACCAGGGCAGACACAAGTTAACGAAGGCGCTCTACTTTGACTTCTTGACTGGCTGTACTTAGCCATGATGTTTAGGAGAGGAAAGGCCAGCAACAAAAGGAGTCCTTTGGGTATTGTTTGTAGTAATATCCCATACTGGCACTAAATGTTTGTGTATTTAATAGGCCATTCAGAAGGAGAACCGTGAGATAGCACAGCTGAACGAAAAAATCGAGCAATTAACACGGTTATTAGAACATAAAAGGCTGCGAGGCCTGGAACTCTCCAAAAGGAAGTGAGTATCGTTTGATGCTTTGATTCCTTTGCTAAACTTAAACAAGCATTTAACATTTGCATGACTGTTAAGGAACATTAATAACAGTATTGGTTTGAAACCCGTCAGATCCTATATATACGGGAATTTATTTTAATCACAAATCTAGCACCCGCAAATCAGTGTCTGCACTCGTAAACATTTGTCTTGGCTTCTAATCCAGACGGCGACCGCACAATCCATTGCTGTCCCTGGGAATCAACACCTTCTTCTCCCGCTTCCCCGCCTCCTCCCCGAAACTGCTGCAGATCATCTAGCTGTCGGGGGGCATGGGTTTTTTTTAATAAAGGTTGAAATCAAAGTAGCAAGATCTTGGGACCCAAACCACTGCTCACAGAAGGCAATGGGAGTCTTTCCATTTCCATCAGGAATGCACACACAAAAAAGCAGATGATATATGAGTAAATTTGAAGGAATTGCTGTGGAATAAGTATTCACAGGCGGTGTATGTAGAACCAAAATTGTCACTTGCTGCTTCGGCGATGTGGGCAGGGGAGGTCAGACATCACACCCAGTACGCTGTCCCCATCCTGTCCAGCTGAAGTCCCTGCACACCCTGTAATGCAGAGTCTGTTTCCCTGTGTGCTCCTGCGGGTACAAGAGACCTTAGGGAAAGCCAAGTTGTGGATCACCCTAAATGGCTTCTTCATTGGGCTTGTAAATCACCTTTCCTGGAGACTGACACCGATGTATAGATATCACTTATAATTTCCCTATTTTTTTAACTATTTGTCCACACCAAGGAGTGTTTCCCAGCTGGTGGCAATATAAAGCACAGGGATTTTCTTAGCCAAGCAGATTTCCAGTTCAAATCCTGCCATGCTTCCACCAGTGGCCAATAGCCAATGTTTCAAAAGCAACCCCCCCAAAAAAAACCAACCGAGAGGAAACTGCTAATCTCTGAGCCCTGCATAAATGAGCTTGCTGCTGTGAACCCTGAGATTTGACTGCCGTTTTCCCTACTTGAAATAATGACGTGTTGTCATTGGGTAATAAAACTATCCAGCTTTGTTCTTGAAGAAAAACCCAGCTGTAGCCCAGTACTGAACAGTGCTGTTGATCCCGTACATGTTTACACACAATTAACGTTACTGTGATGCGCATCAGTGACATTGGGACGGTTCTTGACTACAAAGTAGTCACAGTACCGCATCACAGTAACGTTAAAGAGAAGCATGTGTGCTGTTTCTAGGCTCGGGCCCTTGACAACCTCCTACAGCAAATCCTACGGACTGGTTGCATGAGACAAAAGCATTGTCCTTTTTTTGTTGCCTTGTTATATTTGCGTAGCATCCTGAAATGTGAGGAGCTTTTTCTTCTACGTAGATTTTTCTCACCAGTATAGCTAGCTCCTCTTTGTTATATAATTGGTGAGTTAGTTAAACTCAGTGCATTCCTTCCTTCTCTATTTTTTGGGCACAGATCCAATGGGCTTCTTATGTTTCCATATCCCTGAAGGGCACTAGGTATTTTTTCCTTTCCTATTTCCTATATATCAGGTAACTTCCTCCAAGCATCTTTCCTCCTTGCTCAACCCATGAACCACCCAGAATAGACAAATGAAGTGAGTAACTTTCATGCTCCCAGGACTCTCTGTAAGGCCATCAGAAGCAAGACTAATGCATTTGTGCTCATCAGCTTCCAATCCACACCCTCCATGAACTGGGTATTGCCATCACTGAGAGGCTACAACAGCAATCCAACCCTATGACACTGCCAACGCTGTCTGCCCTTATCTCCTTAACAGGTTTTATTCTTCTCAGGCGTGTACATAGAAACACCAAATGATGAGTAAAAATATCTGTTTTTAATAAAGGTGAAGACATAAGCAAATTATCATGTCTTGTGTTGACACTTAAGAACATGAGTATAGGAACATAAAATATTAGCTGTTGCTCACTGTCCTTTATTTAATTGCACTCCTGAATATCTCTACGTTGGCTTGTTTGTTAGAGAGGATCTTGATTCTGACCTGTTTGTCCTGCAATCAAAAATTACCCAAGAAAGAGAAAGTTTAAATAATGAAATAAAAATGGTAAGAACTAGACTCTTTTTTTTTTTTTTACTAACCACTTTAATCCTTTTTAATATATTTAATAATTGGGCAAGAATCTGTGTAAATGACAGAAAGATTACACCAACATGGATACACCTAATCAGAGCCACCAACAAGAATCCCAACCAGTTGGCCTTCTTCCATGGTTTCATAGTCTGATGTATCGTGTGAATTAGTTTTGTGCATAGTTTTGGGGTGATGTAACTGTGATGATCCATAAAAATGTGAGCGGCAAGGATTTTTGTGGGTGGTATCTCTTATTGGACCAGCTGTATAGTTGGGAGGGACCTCGAGGTACTGTAATATCCAAATGCTTGTCGAGATCCTTCCCAGTTAAATAGCTTCTCCAATAAAAGATATTGTCTGCAAAAATCCTTACCTCTTTTGTGCATAAGCAACGTTGGTTTCTAGCAAACCCAGTGGTCCTAATGGCTGTAAAAATAAATACGAACATGTGTTGACACTTATTGTATTATTGTACGTTTTATTTTTGTACAGTCACAGAATCACAGAAAGTTAGGGTTGGAAGGGACCTCAGGAGGCCACATCTAGTCCAACCCCCTGCTCAAAGCAGGACCAGCCCCAACTCCATCATCCCAGAAAGTGCGATTATTGAACAGAACTATTTCACAGTGTGCTTGGTTACATTTTTAGGTGAGCTGGAAGTGAATGATTTAACACTGGACTTCATTATTATGGAGGAGAGGCAGCATGAATTACTGTGTGCTGAGTTTCATGCCCATGTCACTAGGCTACTACTTAAACCCAGCCTCACTATTTTAAAGCCAGCTCAAGTGCATGGAAGCAGCTCTGCAATCACCTCTGTGACTGCAGCACAGGCATATCTATCCTGGAGCAACCCAAAGTATCCAGTGTGCATTGCTGTATCTTTCC